AACGAACAATTTATTGATTGTTTTATTTTGTTATAACTGAAATTGAATCTACAATTATATTTATTATAACTAAACTTAATTATATAATTATAAGTAAAATAAAATAAGCCTATATATAAAGAAGCAACATGTTAAGGTATTGTCACAAGTCCATGAGAATGTGATATATTCGAAGATGAAAGTAAGTATCTGAAAGAAGGAAAAAATGAATTTGAGATCAATCATCAATCAATGTCAATATCAATATAATATATTAAAGGATGAACCAAACAAATAATATAAAATATATAACCATGAAATCAAAACCAACCAAATAATACAAAATAAGTTAATATATAAAAGAAATTAGATATCTTTTAAAACTAAGAGAGTTTGTGCAACTTTTAGGTTGACCTGTTTTTTGGATAACCATCTTTTATAAAAAAAACACATACCAGAAACTAATATAAAAAATAACATAAAGTTGACAATAAATCAACACCATAAAATTGGTAGATGATAAGTCTCAATTTTTAGAGTTATTTATTATCAATACTCCTATTTTTATATTTTTTATGTACCCATTTTATCTCTATTTTATATTTTTGGTCTAGAATGTTCTTAAGAGGTAATGAAAGGTCAATGATTTGATTTTATTCTGAAAAATCGTCACTGCTGGATAGTGCCTACTGCATGCCCATTTGCACCACCACTGTGAGAACTTTGTGCCCACTGTGAACACTTACGATTCTTAGCTATGAAGTTTTTTGGTGCCGCTGTCGGGGATTGACACGATTTTTATCCTGAGATGTTGATTTTCATTTGAGCCTTGGTCACTTGTTTCTTGCTTAATGCATTCATTGTTGCTGTCGCCGTTGTTGGACTGTCCCAACAACCATCTCAATCACCGTTCGCCTCTGGTTACGGTTCTGTTACATGGATCTTGGTCCCTTATATGGGAAGAAAGCAACCAGAAGTTGGACGCCATTCTCAACAAGGTTCAAGGTGTTGACGACCAACTCGCTAGTTTGGAGAAGAAGACAGCTCGTTATTAGGCTTATCCACACAATTGGAACTGTATTACTCGACAGATTCATGGCCGTCAAGACTTACTTCTTGCAACCCAGTTGCCACGTTTTCCTGTGGGTTTGTGTCTTCCACCGGTTCGAAATGTACCAGATGTTGTTGCCCCTACAATCGTTGTTCCTAGAGTGCCTACCCCCAATGTTCATGCCTTCAAAGTGGCAGACCAATCCACCACTGCCCACAGTGAGCAGGTTCGACCAGAATAGTTGAATCCTTGGTTTATCACTACTAGCTTTTGAACTTTTTTTTTGCGATATTTGGATACATTTTGCTAAAACTTTTGATTCGTCTTTTGTGTGCTACTCCCGTATCTGTCATACTTTTGTGTTATACATTATGACTTGGTGTTGGACATTCTTTTTGTTTGTCTAGTTCCTTTCTTTTCAGGTACAACATCTGTAACATCTCATTCCACATAATGCATGTAACATATACTTCATACACAAGAAACACATGTTTATACACCACATAGGTCTTTTAGTACAAGAATCTATCATTACTAAATACGTGGTTCAAAAATTTAAAATACGGTTCTTGTACTAATCAAGATTCATCTACCAAAAACTATACATATCATCAGCAATTCTTCATGCAGATAAACACATAGGGAATTATCATATTTTCCCTTTTCCCTTACCGTCTGCACCTCCTGCAACACATATTTAAAATCACAAAACAAGGGTTAGACCAAAAGGTCTAGTGAGTTCCCTTTTTATGTTATTGAAGGGTGATAATCACCAAAACTATTATGTAAAATAACTCTTCATATATATAACAAATATATGAACAAGTAAGAACATAATACCAATACCTTTCACCCTTCAAGCCAAATTCTCTGCTTGTAAACAACACATCAAACCCAAATAGGTTTGCACTAACCAGGTTATCATATTGCCACTTTTAAACCTTTTTAATTAAACAAGGTTTATTCAAAGTTTCAGGCCAAACCTGTTATTTACTTCTCAATAACATCCAGACTATGATTTCCAATAAGAACCCTGATCCTAAACCTTTAAATCACAAAGAAATAAAGATTCCAGAYCACGGTAATCTTAAAGGATATAATAGTAAGAGTTATATCACATAACACACATACAAATGCCACCCTTATATCCAAAGGTACACATCTCCTTGATATGCCACCCTTATCCCATGGTACACCTTTCCTTAATATGTCACATTTATCCCATAGTACACCTTTCCTTGATATGTCACCCTTATATCCTCGTCAAAACATTTCACAAAAGCAATTCCATATAGAATAGACCGCAGTCAATGGAATATTATCAGTTCAAAGATCATTTTTATCAAAATTCCCATTTCTTTTTAAAAGATCAACAAAATGATAAGTCATCACATAATCCGGTCAAACCTTGGCCGGATTACCAATCCGGACAACCCTTCTTATGACTTGACCGATTTACCACTTAGCTTCATTCTCAAAACCTTGTCCGAATTACTAATTCGGACAATACTATTCTTGCCATGTCCGATTTAACAATCCGGGTAACATGTCCGATTAAAAATAAATGGCCATCCGATAGTCGTATTCATACTTTTTCGATTTAAACATTTAACATAAATCAAAGTTCATAAATCGTTCATCACCTAAACCGGTTAACACAATTGATCGATTTATCTTTAAACCAGTTAAGACATGTCTGGTTTAAGTCTAATCCGCTTGACCCTTGTCCCGTTTAAAACTAAACCAGTTAATACACCAAGCGATTTAACCTTTAATCGCTCACATTTTGTCCGGTTTAAGTCCAAACCGAGTAAAACAAGTTTTCAACACAATTATTGATCAAACCAAAAGAATTACTTTACAATTGAAATAAAAATGGTAAACCACTCACCTTATGTAATACTTTTGAAAATCAACTTCTTTGCAATTCAGATAATATGCAATCCGGTCAATCTCTCCTTAAATCGCACACTTCTTCAAAATGGCAAGAAAAATGATAAGGGTCTCACCCTCATATTTATATTTTTCCAAATATAGTAAGGCGGCTAAACCGCCCTTACCACTCATGCATGCATCTATCACTCATATACTACTTCATGAATGCATACCTCCATCATGTATATATGCATATGTATTCATATATATATATATATATACACACACACCTAATTATACATATCATGCATATATTCATACATATACATATATACATATCTATGTATGTATTTTATCATGTATAAAATTTCACATACTAACAGAATCAAATATATCAATTTATCATGCTGCCGCTTAATCATTTAACAGATAATCACACATTAATTACCTCGGGTGATAACCATGATCCGGTTATCACAATCTCCTTCATGATTTTTAATAGTGTTTAAGTTACAAAGACGTAGGTCATCTTTTCATTTTAAACCTAAACACTTTCCCATTGAATCCAATCTGAGCCACTAGTTTTGGTCCCTTTCTATACAATGAGAACATTGTACAATACAAGTTTGGGGGGAATATGTTTTTTTTTAAATACCTTCGAAAAATTAGAAGGCAAGAAAAAAAGAGAAAATCAAAAAAAGAAAAGAAAAGAAAGTCTTCGTAAAATTGTGAGACAAAAATTGTCAGCCCATTGTCTAAAAAGACAAAATGTTACCAAAGAAATGGGTCAAGAATATTGCTAATTACTCAAAAGTGAATCAACAAGAATTTTTGTTTCAAATCATTTTGTAGTATAGGATAAGTTTGGGGGAGAGATATATGCAATCATTGCAATAAACACTAGCCCTAAAAGTCCTACTGATTAATGGCGACTGTATGAAGATCAAGTAGAGAAGTTGTATATCATCCATGCTAGATGAATATCCGACACCTTCTGTAAGTATTCGCCTTTATCTCTTTCTTTAGGTTTCTTTTCTTAATTTTTTTTTCTATTTTACTTGAAGACAAGTAACACCTCAAGTTTGAAGGTATGATAACTCTCAATTTTGAGAGTTATTTGTTGTTTAATACTCATATTTTTATGTCTTTTATGTACCAATTTTACCTTTATCTTATATTTTGGTCTAGAATGTTCTTAAGAGGTGATGAAAGGTCAATGATTTGATTTTATTCTAAAAAACCGTCACTGTTGGACAGTGCCCACTTGCACCGCCACAGTGAGGACTTTGTGCCTACTGTGTAAACACTTACAATTCTTAGCTATCAGTAGAAGTTTAGTTGTAAAAACAATATGTATGTATCTATAATCTATATTTTTGTATCTTTATCTTTATCCATGTAAAAGCAATAACCATGGATAATCTGGTGACAACTTCTAAGCATTGTAAATCATTTTTTTCTCACATTATTGTTTGCATCCTACATTGGATCTAATAATGAAAGAGGCATATGAGAGGTGGATACAAAAAGAAAAGGGCCAACTTTTTTCTCAATATTACTTGCATCATGCATTGGATGATGGAATGAAAGTGGCAAGAGGGAGATAGCTATAAAAAGAAATTACTAAAATGGAACAAACATATTTTTCCCGGATCTCGACCTTTTGCTTAAGATCAAATATAGTACATGTTTTCAATGTATATATCTGTCATGAATCTTAGGTTTCTTGTTTAGATTAAGTTTATTATATGTTCTTAGTTTGATATCTAATATATGATTCTTCAGCTTACTTGATATTTTATTTTTTATATGAGAATGCCCATTATACTTCTTGGTGATGTAGTTATTCATCCATTGTCTTAGTGTTACTACTATCAAGGCTTGATGTACCTCTCTAATTTACAATTCAAATGTTATAGAATATTACGGTAAAGTGTAGTATTTTGTCAAATACCTTCCAGCCTAGTGGTAAAGGCTTGGGCATGACATAGTTATGAACCTAAGTTCGAGCCCTGAGAGGGGAGTGTTGGCGACATTTAAGTGGGGCCATGTTTAGCCTCCAAATTTACCGGGGATTAGTCGGGCTTTGGCCCGGACACCCTTACAAAAAAAAAAAAAGTGTAGTATTTTTTTTATCAGTTTAATATCTGATATGTGGGTCATCGACCCTACTTGATATTAATTCTATTGTTTTATGGAGGAATATCTATTAATCTTAGTTTGATGATGTGGTTCTTCATGCATTGTCTTGAGCTTCAACTACTATTGCTACAGCTTATGCACCGCTCAAATTTTCACTAATATTATAATGTTTTTTTTTTCATAACTTCAAATGAAATTTCAATTAAATTTGTTATAAAAATTAAAATCGTGACTTTGTCACCTTAGATGAGATTTCAATTAAAACTGTGATTTCAAGTTAAACAAACTATTAACATTAGTCAAACATTTGTAGATTACATTGCAACACTGTTCTCGAGCATAGTTAGAGAACTTAAATTAGCATATGGTTCTAAAATTGTTGTGAACTTCTCTTAAAAACTTTTAGTGTTGATAAGTAGTTGCCACACATATTTTCCTAAAATTTGTTTAGAAGAAGACTTCAAATTTTAGTCTATAACATTCCTTTTGAAGATGATATTATTCGTCACCACGCAACGTGCGGTTGCAACACTAGTTATTATAAACTAAAGACAAGGAAGTTAAACCAACTAGACAACGTCACTAGTCTCACATCTTTCCCTTCCCCTTCGAGCTACTCTCAACCTGGTACTTCCCATAAAATGGTTTGATTTTTGAAAAGCGAGAGTTAGACCGAAAAGTTCAGTGAATTCTCTTCAAAACATAAAAACATTTATAATAGTGATAAAAGGAAAACCCAACAATAGAGTCATATCATGGTTAAATAGCGTAAGAACACATTCTCTTCACACGGGACATCACATATCATTTGTAACAACTCCGTCAGATACACTCATGACAAATAAAAAAAATCAGACCCCTAAAAGGTGCCCATCCAATGTGATCAAGTAACGATTTCAAGGCACACAGATCAAACTTCCAAGAGATATTACTATCTCAAGGTACTCTACGCCTGCTGTGCAATACCACACACCCCAAATAGCCACATATAGCTCAATTCCCATAAATCATGCAAAAGAACATATTTGCATACGAAATGATCAATGCATAAAATCATAGTGCTCAAAAGTATTTCAAAACAGTTACATGTCAAGAGGTAAAGGAACTCACTTGGCGTTTTGCACTCCACACTATGTCTAATGGCTAGAAAGTTCAAACCAAACACCTGAATTGGACACATTAAGGAATGCGTTAACTCAACTAAAACCCCCGAAAAGTCTTGTAATATAATTTCATAAAGGAACCCTAGGACGAAGGCTTAAACCTCAGTTCGAAACGAGAAATGAAACGGACAAAGTCGCGTTACGACAATGACTTGCGCCACAGCTTAGGCCGTGTGCCAGATCACACTACTCCCTGTTTGCTTTTGGTTCATCCTTGCAGTCCAAACCAGCCCTAAAAGCCACATTTGAACCAAAGCACTACGATTTCCAACTCAAGATAACATCTAGGAACAAGAGGAAACTCCCCAAAACAAATTCTAAGTCAAAACTAACTAGCAATTGCTAAATAGATCACCAACAATAGTTCATCATCCATGGAGTTTCCATTTATTACTATCCAAATCTCCCAAAGTAAAACCATTAAGAAGCATAAAAGGGGAATTGGTTTAAATCAAAACTTCGCCATATAACAACGAAATCGATTTTCTCTATCAGAGATGCAAAAATGACTACAACCGGTAGTAAAAGTTGAGCACTGTTTTTGACAAAAGACTCAATTGATCATAACAGGGCAAAATACTTAGAATTTTATGTCTTGATAGCGATCATCCGACATTTCCATTTCTTAAAACAAACCAAACCAAACCCTTCCGAAAAGGGCAAAAAATAAAAAATAAAAAATAAAAAGAAAGGAAAAAAAGGGTAAAAAGGGAATTGAAGAAGATATACGGGTCCAACTAAGCCTACACCGAGACGCAACCTACGCCATTAAATATTCTACGTCTTTAATTATTACTTCCCTGTTTTGTATTTGACTTTAAATACCTTTTCTTTTTCTTTTTTCCTTTCCCCTAACTAATTTATATGAATATTCCATTTTAGTAAAATATACATTTCTATTAAATATTATGATTTTTAAATAACAACAAAATATAAACATGTATTTTTCATTTATAAACAACTACAATTTATTAATCACGGGTCCAACAACAATTTATTTTATTTTATTTTTTAATATTTTAAGAAATTTATTGATAAATATAAAAATTTCTAAATAAAATGGTTTATATTTATGGAAAAAGTCTATAAAACCCTAAAAAACTTTTCTTTTTAAATTAAAAAAAAACTATATTGGTTTTATTATTCTTAAAATCGACGTCGTTACAGACTCTTGCACCCAACGACATTGCTTCCCCTCCCGCCTTTTATTGTCTCATCGTCGTTTGTTCTCCATACCATTTATCGTCGTCGTTGTCCGTTGACCCGTGCTATCGATCTCGCTCTTTCTGATAAGTTTTTTTTTGTCTTTAGGATCTCCCTTTTTACAAAACTTTTATGGATACGTATTGATAAATAAAACAAGTCGAAAAAAAAAAACAATCAAAAAGAGAGAGATCGACGACAGAGGTCAAAGGCGATGATGGACAGTGATATAGAGCGGACAACAAGGGCGTTTGATTAACGTATGAGTGGTGAGTGCGGGTTTGATTAACGTAGGGTTTGAGAACAGTAAAACTAAATCCCTTTTTTACTTTACTTGACTGATTATAAATGGCTTTTTTAGATTAAAGAAAACTAGAAGGGTACTTGTGCAATGCAGCAACATACATATTGATTATAATATTTCATTTTATTATTTATCTCAGTCGATGTTACAGTATGGTCTTATGTGATTTTGAAAAAAAAGATAATGTTTTTATTTTTGAATAAAATATAAATTTGAAGATATCATAAAATTTTGACAAAAATATATCGATATTAGTATCAAATTAACTATTTAAAATTCTTATTTTTCGTGTAATTTTTTAATTCAATTTTTTATTATAATTTAATTTATATTCAATAACGAAGTAATTTATATTTGGTTTAATAATATAATTTTTTTAAAGATAATAATTAATTATTTTGTTAGAACTCGATAATTATCCTAATTATATTTTAGATTTTTTATATTTTAAATAAGATGTTTATTATATATTTGATTATGTTTATCCAGAGTTAGTTACACGAATTTAAATATGAAGCTTGAATAAGTTGTATTTATGCATAATTTACTTGTAATCTTGAATTTTAAGTAATATATATCAATATACCGTACTTCATGCAAAAAAATTGTTTTTAATAATTTTTATCAAATGCTTTATAATATAATATCCACATAAAAGTAATCAATTTGGAAAAAAAATATTTCGAGAAAATTCGATGGTTAAACCAACATGGCATTCAAATGGAAAAGTTTCTCTTACATTTTCCCTTTTATTTTGATTTGAAGTGAATCCCGACGAGAAAAAGGAGGAGAAGTGGTGATGGTTGGCGCCAAGATGAATATAAGATAATGGAGCTTCGAGACATGTATTCATCATTGACTTGTTTACTTCTCTCTCTTTCTTCAACCAAATTACGCATATTTAATTCAATTTCCAAGCACCAAGAAGATGAAGAAGAAGGTGTGTTCAGTTTAGGTCCACCAACTGGTGGTTAGGGTTTACAATCTCCATTTTTCAAGCAATCGTTTTTAGCTACTAAACGAACACCCAACTCAAGCAAACCCCATTTCAATTCTTTTCATCTTCTTCTTCCAATTCCTAATCTCAAATCCGAATCATTCCAAATCTTTGGTTTTGTCTGCACGTGAGGATTACGGGTTTGGTTTTTTATTTTCGTTATTTGCTGTATTACTTTGATTAATTTAATGAATTGGGTGTTTGCACAACTATGGAAAACTTTTGATTTTTAATCATACATATAATCTTGTTTTTGTTTGCTTGTCATCCAATTATTGTGATGTTTAATCTTTGTTTAATTGTGGGAGGTGGTCATTGTTCAATGATAAGAAGGGTTGGTTGGTTGTGTGTATTTGTTTGCTTTGATTACTATTATTACTTTAATCTAATATAATATTGTCAGGATTCATCATATTTTCTTCTTGTTCATATCCATTTTTTGTCTCCCTTTTAGGAAGATTTTCTTTCAGCCGCTTTGGTTCTGTCTTCATCCTTCCTCTAGATCACAGCTTCAGAAGCTCCTCTCTAAGGTTTGGATTCATACTACTCATCTGTTTTTTGGGGTGCATACCAAGTGTTTGATTTTATGTTCCATTATGTAATTTACTCATGGTATCAAAATATAAAAGTCAAAGTTTATATGCACCGAAAGTGAGCCCTTTGGGAACGTCTTTTTACTGATGAAATTTGCATAACCAATTGTGTTTTCGTTCATGCCATAGAGAGCAACTAGAAACTAAATCTTGTAACTGTGTGCTTCTTGTTGAATTAGGCATCATATCACCTTCTAAAGGATCATTGGCCGGCCTCTAGAAATCTTTGCGGGTAGTGATCGTTTTTTTAGAAATTAAGATGGCTACTTATTATCCTACTTCAAGTAATCATCAAAGAGATGTGTTTCCAAGTTCCTATCTTTCAAGCCAGCAACAACTTGATTCATATCAAGAATCATCTTGTCCTCCTGCTGATATGATGTATCAAAACCAGAATTCTACCGACGCCTCTTTCTTGGAGCTCTTATCTGGTAATATGCAACCGAACCCCCAAATCCTTTCACGAGTTGAGGATCGTAACAGTTTGGATGATGAACATAACTTGCAGTATCAAGAATTATCACTCAGCCTAGGAATGCAAATACCTTCTTCTGCCATGGATTTGCCTGCCTTTCAATACAATTACTTGAATTCTCATCTTCCAGGTTCAAATGATCATGGCTCTCAAAGCAATAAAGTAGAACAGGTTGACTACTTGTCATTTGGCTTGGTTGGTGGTGCAAATAGCACCACCAAAAGTGGGGCTATCAACAATGGCCATTGCTCTATTTCAGATACATATGATGTTTCATATGGGATTGTGGGTACAATCTTGGACTCCAAATATCTCAAACCGTCACAGGAATTGCTCGAGGAAGTAGCTAATCTTCATGAAGCTCTGGGACAGCTAAAGATGAATCGGCAGAGCAATCTTTATAAGCTTCGAGGTGATGGATCTGGTGAAAAAGATTCCAAATTTAACTCCCAATCTGGCCCTCCTGCATCTACTACTAGTTCCTCCGGTGAACTTTCGGCTTCTGAGAAACAGGATCTGCAGAACAAGATCACAAAATTGTTTTCTTTGTTAGATGAGGTAAGCAATTCTTTTTGATGATTCATATCTTTGAGACTGCCCTTCCGGTTTTTAGAATCTTACGGGATTTTTGGTTGTTTTTTCATTAAGCCGTGTGTGTATTTAGCTGTTTATGTGCATTTAGCTGTCTACATGGATCAAGTTAAATTATCGTTTGGTTGTTGTGCTTAATAAAATGTTTGAATGATAAAAATGACAACTTTACCCCTTTCTTGAGTTGAATCTTGAATATATTTTCTTGCATATTGAATCATGAACTAATAATGAATTCTGAAATATGATGGCTGTGGTGTAGGTGGATAGAAAATACAGAGATTATTGCCAGCAACTGCAAATTGTCGAAGCAGCATTAGATGTGGTTTCTGGATGTGGGGCTGCAAGGCCATATACAGCACTTGCCCATCAAACAATATCTCGCCACTTTCGGTGCTTACGTGATGCAATTAATGGGCAAATTCAAGCGTCCCGTCAAAGCTTAGGTGATCAAGATGATTCGTCCGATAGAGTGTTACCACGGCTACGTAACATGGAAAAGCAGCTCCGGCAACAAAGAACCATCCATCAGCTTGGCGTGACACGCCATTCATGGAGGCCGCAAAGAGGGTTGCCAGAGGGCTCTGTCTCAATTCTTCGTGCTTGGCTGTTTGAGCATTTTCTTAACCCGTATGTTCGATTTTCTTATCTCTTTCATTTTATTCAACTACTTGCACAAATTTTTTTGACCCTTTTATGGTTTGATTCTATTTATAATGATGTTAATATTCTTCAGTTACCCAAAAGATTCAGAGAAAATCATTCTAGCAAAACAGACTGGCCTTACCCGAAGCCAGGTAAAACTTATTACTCTTCAAATTCAAGATTGATATGGTGTTGCAGTACAAAACTAAGGGGGTGTTTGGGATTGCTTATGTTAGGTGCTTTTTGACTTATTTTAGTCTGACACCGGTGATAAGCTAAATGCTAGTGTTTGGATGAGGAAAAATAAAACTGCTTATACCGGTGCCAAACCGGTAATAAGCAGTTTTTGATAAGTTAATTCTTTTTGACTTATGAAAAACTGCTTATTACCGGTTTACCATTTTAACCCTGTTTTATAATGTTAGTTAATTATTAATTTTATTGATATAAATTATTAATCTTATTGATATAAATTTTTGTCAAAGAAATTATTATAAATGATGAAAAATAAATTTTTACATGTTAAAAAATCAAACAAGTCAATAATATGGAAGACTATCTTTTTTGGTCATTTTATATATATATAAGCAAAATTTGTCAAACACTAGAAAACAACTTATCAACTTATTGCTTTTTGGTACCACTATAAGCTAATCCAAACACTTTTTACAAAACTACGGTTTGATACCACATAAGTTAATAAGCACTTTTACAAAAAAACATAAGTTGTTTTAAATAAGCAAATCCCAAACACCCCCTAACACCAAGTTTCTAAATCTTTATTGTATTCTTCAAAGTTTAATGTAACTATCAAATTGTTCTTAAAATAATGAAAATGGTTATAACATGTTATTAGATTGCAAATTGGTTCATCAATGCACGTGTGCGGCTCTGGAAACCGATGATTGAAGATATGTACAAAGAAGAATTTGGTGATCCAGAAGGCAATTGTATGTCACCATCACAAAAACATGCACCAAAAGTAGCAAACAATAACTCATCATCTTCAGAAGATAAAGAGAAAGAATGTGGACGTATTGACCAATCTAGTGATTCAAATCCTGATAACTTTTTCAACGAGATGGAAGTCAGCAGGTCTCCAACACAAAGCCATACAGATTTGCCAGATCAATACAGGTTTGGCGAACCTCAGTCGTTATCTGATTTCGTTGTATAATAAAAGCATACCTTTTAGGTTGATCTTGGTTTGAATTTGTGTAAATATGGATGTGAATATAGATGGTGTTTTGTTTAGAGGTATAGCGAAGAATTTTTTTCAAAGATCAGCCTGTAAGTAAAGATCTCACCATATCTGCACTCTTGTCAAATTCATTGGATAAAAAGACATGAATGTATCATTTCTTATGTAATAAAACAACAATTTGTTAACTTCTTTGATTCATTAGTGAATAGAGATGATGTCCCAATGATGTTTGTAGTTAGCTAGCAGGCTATTACAGACTGTTGATGCTTTGGTGGTTCTTTTCAGACTGTTGATGCTTTGTTAACCATCTATTGTACTTGTGTCCTTTTTAGTAATTTCACAAAAGGTTTTGTTGCTTTGTTCAGATGTAGAGGTGCAACTAGTTTTAGCTGCTTCTTAGCCTGCATATACGTTTCCTCATTTTGGAAACTTCTATAAATGCATATCAGGGGTCTGAATGGTGGAAGAAATTGACATTTATGACCTCCACTTCACTTTGTGTACCTTCTTCTTAGAAGGATGCTTCTTTCTGTTTTTTCATCATCTAAGAAAGTTGTTTCTCTTATGTTCCCTTTTGGCTTCAATTTCTGTTGCTAAACATGGTTTGACCAAATTGCCCTTCAAACCAGAGTATCATACACAAGATTCCCCATTTCAGACCCATAAACCATTTGATGCTTATGGGTTCAGTTGAGAGGTCTCAATCTCTCACTACACTCCATTTGGAAAAAAAAAAATACCAAGATCGATATGAGTTTTTGACGTTTTAAACCATGAAGTTACAAATTCCCATAGTTTTCGAATCAACCATTTTGAAATCCAAGAATTTGGCAACGACATGCTTCTTGGTTCCCGCATCTTCGGTCTTGTACTTACGTTCCAAAGATTCCCATAGTTCCTTAGCCGTGTCAACTTTACAGTAAACATTGTAGAGAGGATCGGCTAGCGCGTTCAACACATGGTTTCGGCACAGAAATTCAGAGTGTTTCCCCGCTTCAACCGCGCTCACAGATTGAGCATCGGCTTCTCCCTCATCAACTTGGGGAGCAGATTCTGCAAGGAACCGAGCCAAGTTCAAAGTGGTCAAGTAGAAGAACATCTTCTGCTGCCACCTCTTAAAGTTCAGACCAGAAAACTTCTCTGGTTTCTCAGCGTGATTAGCCATCGTGTTTGGCACAGGTGCTGTAGCAGTTGGTTTCACAACAAGATCCACCATTCTGTTTAAGATTGTTTTATATATCAACAGAAACGAATTCTGTGGAAGAAACCAGCAACGGTTTGATTGAAACAGAAACGAATTCTGTATTTAGTAAAACAGAAACGGATTCTATAAAGAAAAGAAAACAGAAACAAATTCTGAATTCCAGAAGAAGAAGGAGAAATGGTTGAGGCTCGTGTTTGACACAATTCCCTTAAACAGATTCGGGTCTGTTCCCAGGGTACAACAGCCGGAGCAGGAGTACTACCGGAGTTGACCAACTTGCCTGAAAAATTCGCCGGAAAGAAGCTTGCAAAGGAAGAGGAGCGTGTGCACTGTGTATTATGTGGTTCTGTATATTTTCAAAATGAGAATTTGATCTGTTTATAGGCTGTAAACGTATCATCATTTTAATGGGCAATTAATGTATTAAATGCGGAATTAAATTCTCATTAAAAAAAGATTCAGTTAGTAAAACTGAATTAAATTTGAAAAACAGACCAGATAACCAGATAAAATTTCAGCAAAAACCGGTTGCGCGAGCTCGTGATTTCGGAGCTGCATTCGTGTCCGCAGGTCGCGCCCACACATGAGTTCGGCGGATTTAGCCTACGAAATCCACAATCCGCACCCCCCTGCGCGCGCATAGGTGTTGGAGCATAACATTGCATAATAGCTTGAAAGCCTTTGTGAAGTCCATGGTTATAAACCATGAAAACTTCAATCACCCCACCTATGTGGGATACCTCTCACACACCCATTTGGTTTTGCTAAACTCATCCCAAGTACCCAACTTTGAGCCTCGATATCTCATTCACACATACTCGGTTTTGGATACATTATATATGGTTTCGAAGCTCTCATAACGAAGAATGTAAACCCACTAAGAGTCAATTAAAATTAAACCATATACATGTAGTTAAATGTGCCCAAAGTTAGTAAAAAATCACATTTTCTACTTAAAAATTTCCAACAATCCCCCACATGAATGGAGATCGATTTCTGCAAACAAAATTCCAAACGAAATTTCCAATAATCGAATCCTGCATAGGATATCTAGGTATTACCCTTTGAACCCTCCCTTGTGAACTACACTTAGTCTCCTAGCTGTCAGTAGACACGATGTCCTTGAACTAAACTGCCATTTATGTAGACGACAACATAATTCACATAGGACTCTTCCTGACACGGTCAAATCCTCATAGTCGTGTTCGTTATGGTCATGAACACTAGCCTGGTTCTACAAGAGCTCTTAGGAATTGCGCCCCCCCCCACAATTCCCTTCGAAGCGACCCCACTTCTCTCTCACATAGGTGATTCTAAATAATCATTAAAAGCCATACGCTTAACCTCACTTGTCACTAATTACAGGAATGAACTAGGAAGTTTATACTCCCCCACAGTGACCTCCCTCATTCATACAACTAGGTTGTCCTTTTGAACCCAGATCTTGGGATCTCCAGTCTTCTGGGTAAGGTTTCCTTTGCATGAATTTATTCATTCAAGGGTTTTAGTCCCATTCCTCTCGACGACGTATTAACCAACTCTCTACCCAAGCCTTTTGTAAGCGGATCCGCAATGTTATCTTTTGACTTCACATAGTCAATAGTGATAACTCCTGTAGATAGCAGTTGTCGTATCGTATTATGCCTACGTCTAATGTGCCTTGACTTCCTATTATACATTGTACTTTGAGCTCTACCAATCGCCGATTGGCGATCACAATGTATACAAATGGCCGTTACCGGCTCAGGCCACTCCGGTATGTCCTCCACAAATTGACGTATCCACTCCGCCTCTTCACCACATTTATCCAAGGTGATAAATTCAGATTCCATCGTAGATCTAGCTATAACCGTTTGTTTGGAAGATTTCCAAGAAATAGCTGCACCTCCAAGTGTAAACACATATCCACTTGTAGATCTGGAATCTTTTATATCAGATATCCAATTCGCATCGCTGTATCTTTCAATCACAGCTGGATGTCTGGTATAATGTAGTCCATACTCACGTGTGTATCTTAAGTACCTCAACAATCTAGTAACACTCTTCCACTGTTCAGAACTGGGATTACTAGTATACCTACTTAGCCTGCTCATAGCATACGCTAAGTCAGGTCTAGTACAACTCATTAGATAAATCAGACTACCAATGATTCTTGAGTATTCCACTTGTGCGACACTATCCCCTCGATTTTTAGATAGATGTTGACTAGTATCAATCGGAGTTCTAGCTATACTAGTGTCTTCCTTATTAAACTTCTCAAGAATCTTGTCYACGTAATGGGTTTGACTCAACACCAAGCCATTTTGAGTTCTCGTGATCTTGACTCCAAGAATCACATCCGCTAAACCCATGTCTTTCATGTCGAATTTAGATTTCAACATATCCTTCGTGGACCTTATCA